CTAGCCGGAGCACAAGTACAGGTCATGACCGTGATTGGGTGTAGATAAAAGCCAGTGTCGCGGTACTGGGTGGGAGGCTGAGGGGTGAGGAAACGGAGGTGGACCAAGTGACATACATCTGCCGCGCCGCTTGAGCTAGCTCTTTGTACGAATGCACTGCTTGTAAACCATCCATAAGGCTCTCTTGGCTACATCTGGCTTGCCGCTATAGTATACTTGTGAAATAGATGTCTGTCGTTCTGTGAAGAGAAGTAGATGAGCGGGATTCTTGATGCAGTGGTCGTCATCTGTTGGCTTCTAGAGTCGGTCACGTGGTTCCCGTGGGTGTTTTTGATCGGATAAAGCTCTGGGGTTGAAGGGAGCCTGCAAATATGTCAACGCTCGCACAGAAGTAATTTGATAGGGCTTGCCAGCTGCGAATGGTGGGAACTTCTTTCGATATCGTACTGCAATTTCTACTCCTTCATCTATGCCTACTGTATCCATCGCCATGAACGTCTTGGGCAGTTGTACAGAACAATTGCGGTTCTGACTGGAGCTTCATGTGCATGACGCTGGTTGTGTTGGGATTGTGTGCCAGCATTTGATCGTCCCTTTTCCTTGCTGTAACGTGTACCCGACGAGAAGACGCCCATACAGCCGCGGGAAGAGCCGCTTGAGATGGTACGAGAGAAAATCGTCGTGTTCAGCTCCTACATGAGTCTCGGTGACAATAAGTAGAGGTGTCGGAAGATTAATCACCCCTTGGAGCCACGCCAGTAGTGCACGATGCTCAATATCTGTCTTGTTCTTCTGAAAACCATCCATAAGATAGCGACACGCGGTCCGCGCGCAATCATACAAGGTACGATGCTCGTTCTCGTGGGCCTCTGAGCCATACCAATTTCTAGCCTCTACCCCCCTAACAGGCCTCGGCGGGGATGTTGCTTGATGTTGCGAGCCCTTTTTTTAGGTTGGATACTTTCTTTGGACCCCAAAGGCCAGTAGTTGCCGGAGCTAGTAATAAAAAGTTACTCGCCGGTCCAGGCAAGATATTGTCAGGAATCGCGCCATCGTCGCTGCTCGTAGCCGCAGAATTCGTCGTCTCATCCAAGGGGGACCCCTTACTGTGCCTGCCGTCACATACAAACGTGCTCGTGGTACTCTTACCCATTGACGAAGGCGGCCGTTCTGAGCCAGTGATACACTTCCAAATGTATCAGCCATTTAGCAGGCTTTGTGCACCCAGATTCTTTTTTATAAATTCGGAAGGGAATTCGAGCACATGTTCAGTATGTGAAGGACCCGTCGGCGATAATTGAAGGATGCGTGCTCCACTATATGAAGTCTCTAGGGCTAATTGATTTAGGGAATTCAATAGAGTGAGTGAGAAGGTGAGGTATATTTAGGTACGCGTACGACCTGCTATATCCTGTCATCCGGCAACAAAGTTACCTAATCGACCGCTACTTTATATACTAGGTAGCGCTAGTCCTCGCACAGCAGAGCGCCTACGCGCAGACTCCTGTCTCGAGATAATCAGGTTCCTCGAGGTCAGCCCGGGGCCCTGTATGACGAGTTGATGGTCGGCTTGAGAGGTCTCCAACCAATGATTGACATCAGTGTCAAGGAAGTTTGAAGCCTCCTGGACCAGACCTGGGTTCGAGATAGCGTGCGTTTGTATAGAAGATCCCGTGTCCATAGCGATATTTGCCAGTCGATCCGCCATTTTGTTGAAGGTGCGGTATTGATGTCCCCAGCTGGCGACATCAATATCGTTAGCGATGGCACGTGCTTCGTTGAATAAACGCACCAAGTGCGGCTTGCGTGGAGGGTGTTGTGTTCGGAGTTGAGAAAGTACAAGCGCACTGTCCCCAATGACGTGCAGGGGTGAGTAGTCGCATGTCTTTGCTTGCCGAAGACCATGCACGAGCCCCCAATATTCAGCGACATTGTTAGTGGTATCGGCAGATGCATAAGCCATACTTGATACCCACAGAACGCATGCGGCGTGAGTCGGAACGTGTAGTCGTACAATCACAGACCCGGCTCCACCTGGACCTGGATTTCTGCGGGACCCGCCGTCAAAGAAGAGGAGGTAAAGCTCGCCAGGGAGCCGGTCGATAGGCCGGACTAGTAACGAAGGAGGTTCATCGTAGCAGAGTAGGGTATCAGCCAAGGCCGACCGTACCTGCGCAAACAGTTGCCCATCTTCCCCCATCTCGGGCTGATAGGTTGATCGCCGAAACCGTCTGACCGACCGACGAAAGCTCGTCTTGGCGCTGGCTATGTGCACCTCCTGTGATAACGACGAGTCTTCCATGCGGCGGAGGCGCTCGACCCAGATTGCATGAAGGGTCGTTGATACGACAAAACGCCACAGCTCTCTAGCTGCCGGAAATATAGCAGCCTGAGCTTTTGATAAATTAGTGCCTGGGTCCATGGATTGCTTAATTACATCCCAGGCGTAGGGTGGAATCGCCGGGAGGTCCAGGCCAAACACCCAAACATTCAATTCAGCCTCCTGGAAAGTTCCAAGCCATCGCCACCGATCAAGGAGAAACTCCCAGTGACGACGCGCACTAGATCATGTCCAAAAGATATGGCTTGCCAGAGCTGGACCAGCATTCGCACACTCAGGGACCGGGCAAGACAGATCTTGCTTCGCCCAATTCCAAAGCGGAAAACTGTTACTCTTTAGCCTATACAGCGTCTGAGCGTTTGTCGGAAAGGACGCTCGTATTCGTCGAATGTCCCTCCAAGTAATCAATGTTGTACCTTCCGAGATCACGTGAAAGTCCGTCGTTGCCACACGTTCATCAAGAAGTCTAGTCCCTACAGCACGGCGCCGCCGGGTGATAATCTGTTTCAGTTTACGTCGTTGCGGCCGCCACCTTCGTCGTCCAGCCCACATGTGGGCAACGCGAGTAAGCGCCGGATGCGCTCCAAAGTGAACAGGAGACTTACTAGCTGTTGACGCGGCTATATCGCATGCCGCAATCGACGCGACCGGTTGCACTCCACATTCCATGCCCGTATCGAAATGTCTGAGCGACTTACCGTCACCAGTTAGAAGCCAGTCATGGAACTGGTGCACCTTTGTAGAGTATGCAATCACAGACCCAGGCTCCAGTGGTCGATATACCAGTGACGGGAAATTGTAAAGCAGCGCGAGGCAGAAGGACCCAAAATGCCGTCGCTTTGCCATAGACTGGGACGCCATGTCACGCGTAGGAGAGAACAAGACCATGCCACTCTGCAGGGTCGTCCACGTCATTGTCTCGCCAAGGTAATTCAAGTTTCGCGCAAAGTCGGCCCCGTTCAAGCTGTATGCCTTACCCTGTCGATCTCTGAGCTACGACATATCCTTAAGCGTGGCGTATGCCAGCCACCGGTGGTCAAATCGCCCTGATGCTGCTACATCAGCTCGCATCCCAACGCGCAATCTGTCATCAATAACCCGCCGAACATCAATTGTGACACTACCGTCTTCATTATAGGCGACTGCTGCTCTCGACGTAAACGACAAGGCTCGTCTACAGACCTCGCTGACCGCACCTTGGCGTGCATGTTGAGCCGAAGAAAGTCCAACAATTTCAGACCCGGTTAGCCAAAGCGTTGCGCGATATCGAGGGAGCTTGTCTTCCGTCCTACAAGGCGTAATGTAAGCCGTACCCGACCCGGTAGATCCCCATAAGAAGTCACCAATTAGTAAGTCTCTCGAAGAGACAGTAGCAGCCCATTGTCCAACTGCTGTTGCCGCCATCGTCATCAATTCCGTCCGAATACAGGGAACCGCTAGTCCTCCCTGCTGGATAGGTAAGGCCGCTATCTCGGAAGATACCCAGGGTCTGGATCGCTTTCTATCTCGGACACCCCATACAAAGTCCATTATTAAGCTGTGCAACCGGGTAACCACTGCGGGAGGAGGCCAACAGTGCCGTGCTAAGAAGTTAATTTTGGGCACCGCGATAGCACTTGCTAGCAGAGCACGTTGTTCCACTGTGTGCGTCTTCTCGCGGGCTAAGACAAGTCGGCTCCATATAGAACGTATGCACTTATTCCAGTTATCGGCCACCGCGTCCTGTTGTCCCACCAATACACCAAGATACCTGCAAGAGTCACTAGGGGCCTGCAGAGTGAGACCACAGGTGCTAAAAGGTTGCTCTGATCCGCGAGGGTCCAGCTCAATGATCATTGATTTCGACCGATTCGTCCGAAGACCCGACACATGAGCAAATTCCTCTAGAATAGCTACCACTTCCAGATTTGCGGCCAATCACGCAATCAAATCGTTGTGGCACCGGGGAGTGTGTCAACGCAGTATGCACGCATACATCGGCGAATTAGCGCCTAGTAATAAGCCCTCGCCGACCCAAGAGCGCGGTGACTTCGAAAACGGCGCACATGTGGAAGGAGGAACCGGGCACCGTACGCGAGTGGCATGGAGTGATGACGAGGTAGGTGGCTCGAGTGTGCCCACGCCCGTGTCGGGCGAGAGCGTGCCAATAGGAGTGGAAAAGACGGGGCAAGACGAGACGATAGGGGATGGGCACGGGAATTCTGACCAATCCCGAGCTTGGACAGGCGGCCTCGGCCCCCCAACTACTGCGCCTATTTGTGGGACCCGTACTGATCGGCGTTCGTACGCGGCCACAGTGGCTGACTCCTTCCTTGATGGAGATAGTCAGTATCCAGTGGCTACAGAACGGGGTGCACAGGGGAAAGGACCGCGGGTCGGGTCCTCTCCTATCGCTGGAGCTTTTTCCTGTGACGTTGTGGCTCGATCTCGAAATCTCGGGTCGGCGTATGAGCCTCACTTGTTGGTGTCTGCGGGCTCGGGACCGGTGGGAGCTGCAACAGAGTAGGGAAGGGCCGACACGGTAGACGGGCAGGGTCCGGGACTTTTCGCTGACTCCAAAGAGGATGGGAGTCAGCGCTCATCTGCTGACCACACCCGGGTGCTGGTGCGGGCGGCTACGAGAGTGTGGACCGACAGATCAGACGATGATCTCCGTTCGATGATTCCGCTTGAAGAGGAGGCTCTAGCGGCATGGATGATGGGGGCTATCATGCTCCAGTCTCCGCCTGGATTTTTGGTGTGCACGCACCCGAGGGCTACGCGAGTTGTAATGCTTGATTTTTTCGAAGAGTACCGGGAAGGGAAGGTCATTGCGATTGTCCCTCCGTACGTGCGCATGCCTCAGTACATCGCCGAGAAAACGTTGCTACTCCAGCTCTTGGAACGCAGTGAGGGGCAGACGGAGTCCGATGTCATGAGTCGGGAATTGGTCAAGGGCGCCAAGCGGACCAGTTACGATGCCGAAACGAGGCGACTGACTTTCATTATGCCGGATCAAGCGGCAGCAGCAAGCTGGCATGCAAAGATGATTTTGTTTCGCGGAAAGCGTCTTAAGCTGTTGTGCCCGGCCACTATGGAGCGCGAAGACATTACTGCTCCTTCGCTATTAGCCACGTCAAGCGGTAGACACCAATTGCAATACCAAGTCCGGATTTTGGTCAATGGAGTGGCGGCAAGCACGGTTCAAGCTATATTTGCGTCTAGTGTGGCTTGTACGGTCACATCCGTGTCTCGTGGGTGCCCACTCGGCTCGGAGGCATATGATTCCAACTTTTTCGTGGCAACTTTTGACATGGTGTCATGTCCCGAGCAACTCAAGCTGGTCACGCACATCGCAACATCCGAAACGGAGATCTTTCTCCACCATTTTCGTCACTTTCAACGCGTTCCCTGTTTTTCCTGCTATTCGCCATATCACTCGAGTGCTAAGTGTGGTGGACGCAAAGGCGCTTTTCAAATTCAGCATCACCGAGAATTTACTGGTATTCCAATAGCTCCTCCTCACGTCAGTGGGTTGACTTTTAACCACTTGGACGTTGCCGGTCGCCTGCAGCATGTCTCTGGACTGGCGGATACTTTGGTGGCAACCACGGCGAAATTAAAGGCTGATGGCAACAAGGCCCCACTGTTAAGTGAGGTCTCGCAGGTACCTCCTTGTGCTGGGCAGTCGTCAGTTCCGAACATGTCTCCGCTTGCCGGTGGACAGGCCGTTCGGGGCGGGGCTACTCGCGTCAGTGGTCCAATGACGAACGAGTGGTTCGATCCTGGAGCGAACAAGAAAAAGAGGGATGTGCGCCCCGCAGATGTTCCGGCTAGTCGGGCAACAGGACCTGCTGTGAAGCTACCCAAGCATCCGCAGTTCAACAAAGATGGAGGTGCAAGAAAGTCACCACTCCCGAAGTCGAAGGCTGTTGCCCAAACTATTTCCACGAACACGGTCGCTGACAAAAAGAAACCACCTCAACAGACTAAGGCAACTGTTCGTCAAAAAGGGCAATCGACCACGGTCCATTCTTCGCCACCACCCTCCGCTTCTTCGAAGGCGGACACCCAGCGCACGCTGGCGATTCGGGAACTGGACCACATATTGAGTGGTGCTCATGAGGAAGTTGCAGAACCTGCACCTATTGATCCGGGGGTCGATTCGGCGCTGCCTTCGACGAATTTAAAAGAGGCGACCCTTGAGGCCGTTCGATCGCAAGTAGCAACCGCACAAAAAACGGTCGAGGAACTTAATTTAGCAGCCGAAGAGAAGCAGCGCGCGGCAGACACCACGAAATCATGTTACTTTGCGGCTCACGCTCAGGCACTCGAAGTGGCTATTGCTACTGAGAAAACGAGTAATAGAGAACCTACTTCTCCTGAAGAAGTCAGTGAGGAATTGCTGAGGATGGAGTACGAATACCGCACCGCAGGTGCGACGGCGAACCGAGCGAATGCGGATGCAACGATAGCAGCGAAAACCCTCGAAACACTGACACGTCGGTTGGCAAAGATTACACCGAAACCGAAGCCTGTGACCGAAGATACGGCCCCGCAAGATGATACACCACCTCGCGAGATGCCTACGGAGATGGCAGCAAGAAGTAGAGAGCGGATTCGGTCCATGATACAACGCTTGTTGGATTCGTATGTGCGCCGCAAACGGGGTGTACCAAGTGAGCCGATCGATAAACCTCTTGGTACGGTACCTACCGCGAAGGCGCCTCGTGATCCCGGTCCACCGGATCTACCGCCGATGTGCCCCCCAGAATCGGACGGGCAGCGTCCCCAAGATCTCGATGTTACTATGGAGGAGAGCACGGTTACGTTCGGGAACACTATGTGCTTGAATGATTTAAATGGAGGGGCAGTTACTCCGCCTCCCTGTGCCGCTAGTGTACCTATTCCAGCGGATCTAGCCAAGGCAATTGAGGAAGAGCTTAAGGCCTCGTCTGGAGTTATCGACGTTTCCGACACGGGTGCCTCTAGTTTATTAACACGTCCTACCGCTAGCATGGGTGGTCTCTGTACGCAGGTAGCGGTCCGGTCCCCGATGGAACAATGTCGCGCTCCCGATCCTCACGATCAGACTTTACGCGCAACAAGGATTCGCAAAATTCCAGATAGCGCATCTGCTGCGGTGGCGGCTGCTGCAGTGCCGGAGAGCATGAAACAAATTTCATTGAACACAGCGGCGATTCGCAAATGGGTTAGCCTGCACAAAGCGATGGCTGCACTACCGACTACAATGCCAGTTGGACCTAAGGGACAAATGGCCTGGATAAACGCGTGCTCCTTGGACTTGGCGGGACTCGTCTGTGGACTACCTTATCCTGTTGCTTACCTTGCCTCGATGTCGGGTGAAACCCTACGGTCTTTTGGACATTCCATCAACAGTGAATCTCAACTGGCTGTAATTCGGCGACACACCACACACGCAGATGAAGAACTTCGCGAGCTGTGCAAGGGTTGGGCCGCCACGGCAGACGCGCAAACCGGTCATATTCGATGGAGAACGACGGACAATATACAACGCTGGAGACGCTTTAGTAAGCTACAGCCCGATTTGCTGTGCGCGACTGTCGTCGAACCGCTTTCTGACTTGGATCAGTGGGGAGTCCTCAATGTTCTGTGTTTATTGCTCCCGAAGCTCGCACCTATTGAGGTTAAGACGAACGTGGTAATGCCGCAAACCAAGGCTGTACTATATCACCTCTCCAAAGAGGTGCGCGCGGCGGTGATTAGCATTATATGCAAACTTGCCAACTGGCAGCCGGCCCTTGACCTTATCGCTAAAGATGGTCAACTGCTGGACTCTAGGTGCTGAGGGCGTCTCGGCTGAGCTAGAGGATGCATTGTCGCGGCACATGCCACAACGTCGTCAAAGACGCCTTTTTAAGACCTCATGTATTCCACGCGACAACAGCATAGGTATCCATTCGCAGAATGTCGCAGGATTTCCCAAGAATCCGGAACATTGCGCAACTTGGTTCAGCCACTTCCGACAGAGCGAAGCCAGGGGAATCATCGATTTGGTCCTTTTACAGGAAACGCGGGTCACTTTAGGTGAGGCAGCTCCTCTGGACAAGCTTTACAACTCCTCCTGGGGATTCGTGCACAAACTCGGACGCTCGTTGTGGACCGAGTCCGAGTTCTCTCGTGGAGGTGTGGCTATTTTATTAAACCCATACTCAACAATTACGGAAATGGTTCCATGGTATGAGGATCAATGGACACAGCATTGGATGGCTGTCCGGGTCTGCCTAATGGGCGAAACAGTTCTTGTTGTATACGTTTACGCCCCAAGTACCAAGACGGAAAGAGAGGCGCTGTTCTCGAGCCTTCTACTTATTCTTCAGGGATACGAAGGACCCATGTTTGTTGGAGGGGACTTCAACTGTACTTTGGAGCCGCGACTTGACCGTTCTTTTGTCTCGCCGCCAGGAAGACATGATTCCTTGGCGCTTCGGCGGCTTCTCGGCCGAGTGCAGCTTAGCGATGTTCATGATGGTGATCTGGAGATGGCCGAAGAAGAAAGAGATGTACCGGCGTTTCATGCGGCCTCTCACACTTATTTCTACACTCTTCCGGGCGGTGGATTGGCTAGTTCCCGACTGGATCGGTGGTATGTGAGCTCTCGCCATGCTGATTGGATTCGTGGCGTTGCTTTGTCAGTTCCTGGTCCAGCAGCTGACCACAATGGCATCAGTATCAGGATTGGAGTGCCGCGTTATGTGGTCCGTGTACGTAAGCCGAGGCACGTGTACCCTGTTCCAGGTTGTGCAAACACAGCCGCGCATAAAGCAATTGTTGCGGCCATTAAGCTGGCACAGCTTAAAGCGGACGAGACTCTTTCTGTTCCGCCGTCGGACTATATCACGGCCCGTAGATTGGCCGACTGGTGGGATGAATGGAAGATCAGGCTTCGCAAAGTTCTTTTGGCGACGACCAAGACCGCGCGTCAAGGTATGACAACAAGCTATCGGCAGCGGCTCCGTCGGCTCTATGTAAGACTGGACGCAGCTCTATTGGTGGCGCGTACACTTGATAACTCACCACCAGGAGCTCATAAGGACTGCAACAAGCCTAGCACCACCGATACTCCGGTTGGACTGCGGCGTAATGTTGCGGAGTGTCGACGCTTATGGCAGAGATCCAAACAAGAGCGCCTTCTTGTTCAACACACGTATACTCCTGGAGAAACATCTCGACGTTTTTTCGCCCGGGTGGCGACTATTTTTCAAGACAACACCATTGTTTCTTTGGGCGGAAAGGCTGCATACGGGCCAAATCATTCTCAAGAGCTGGCTGATGAAATGGCGGATGGCTGGGAGCGTATTATGACTCATTCCTTTGCCTGTCCCGACGCTACCGCCACTTTTCTTTCCCGGGCAGTCCCGCCAGGACCTGTTGATGACACTACTGTGATGTCGGCCGTTTCCCCCGATGACGTGAGTGCGGCTTTAAATAGGCTGAAACGTGGGAAAGACGCGGGACCGGACGAAATTAACAACACATTTTACAGAGATTACGCGGAAGCGCTCAGTCCAGTACTCGCTACATTCTACACCAGATGGCTTACGTGCAGCGTGTTCCCGTCTTCCTTCGGTGAAGCGAACATTCAGTGTTTGAAGAAATCTGCGTCCTCCGCCTTGCCGCTCGATCATCGCCCGATTGCTCTCCTCAACAGCGACTACAAGTTATTTACCAAGATTCTTTCGTTTCGGGTACGGCCATTATTGTCGCATCTCGTTTTGCCGGCTCAAGTTGGTTTTGTTCCAAAGAGGTCGATCCATACAGCTCTTGACATTTTCGCGACGGTACGCAAAGCTGCGACTTTGGACAGCAGCCTACATGGAGCCATTGTGCTACTTCTCGATTTTGCCAAGGCTTACGACACGTTGCAACGTCCATATCTGCTTTCCGCTCTGACATGGCTTGGGTTTTCGCCTCATTTCGTATCAGTCGTGGCAGCATTACACCACGACACTACCTGCCGATTTCTTGTGAATGGATACCGCTCTCGTCGACGTGACGTTACTTGTGGAATACGGCAAGGATGTCCCCTTGCGCCACTTCTCTTTATTTTAGCCCTCGATAGTGTCTATCGGGTGCTACAAGCGAGGGAGGACATTCGAAGGGGTGCCTATCTTCACTGGAGGGCGGGCTACAGAGTTCAAAGTATCGGGATACGCTGACGATACTGCTGTCTACCTTCGCGATCGGTCCTCGGTTACGCCTGTTGTAGCTATTCTAGAGTGAGTGAGAAGGTGAGGTAATTTAGGTACGCGTACGACCTGCTATATCCTGTCATCCGGCAACAAAGTTACCTAATCGACCGCTACTTTATATACTAGGTAGCGCTAGTCCTCGCGCAGCAGAGCGCCTACGCGCAGAATCCTGTCTCGAGATAATCAGGTTCCTCGAGGTCAGCCCGGGGCCCTGTATGACGAGTTGATGGTCGGCTTGAGAGGTCTCCAACCAATGATTGACATCAGTGTCAAGGAAGTTTGAAGCCTCCTGGACCAGACCTGGGTTCGAGATAGCGTGCGTTTGTATAGAAGATCCCGTGTCCATAGCGATATTTGCCAGTCGATCCGCCATTTTGTTGAAGGTGCGGTATTGATGTCCCCAGCTGGCGACATCAATATCGTTAGCGATGGCACGTGCTTCGTTGAATAAACGCACCAAGTGCGGCTTGCGTGGAGGGTGTTTTGTTCGGAGTTGAGAAAGTACAAGCGCACTGTCCCCAATGACGTGCAGGGGTGAGTAGTCGCATGTCTTTGCTTGCCGAAGACCATGCACGAGCCCCCAATATTCAGCGACATTGTTAGTGGTATCGGCAGATGCATAAGCCATACTTGATACCCACAGAACGCATGCGGCGTGAGTCGGAACGTGTAGTCGTACAATCACAGACCCGGCTCCACCTGGACCTGGATTTCTGCGGGACCCGCCGTCAAAGAAGAGGAGGTAAAGCTCGCCAGGGAGCCGGTCGATAGGCCGGACTAGTAACGAAGGAGGTTCATCGTAGCAGAGTAGGGTATCAGCCAAGGCCGACCGTACCTGCGCAAACAGTTGCCCATCTTCCCCCATCTCGGGCTGATAGGTTGATCGCCGAAACCGTCTGACCGACCGACGAAAGCTCGTCTTGGCGCTGGCTATGTGCACCTCCTGTGATAACGACGAGTCTTCCATGCGGCGGAGACGCTCGACCCAGATTGCATGAAGGGTCGTTGATACGACAAAACGCCACAGCTCTCTAGCTGCCGGAAATATAGCAGCCTGAGCTTTTGATAAATTAGTGCCTGGGTCCATGGATTGCTTAATTACATCCCAGGCGTAGGTGGAATCGCCGGGAGGTCCAGGCCAAACACCCAAACATTCAATTCAGCCTCCTGGAAAGTTCCAAGCCATCGCCACCGATCAAGGAGAAACTCCCAGTGACGACGCGCACTAGAGCATGTCCAAAAGATATGGCTTGCCAGAGCTGGACCAGCATTCGCACACTCAGGGACCGGGCAAGACAGATCTTGCTTCGCCCAATTCCAAAGCGGAAAACTGTTACTCTTTAGCCTATACAGCGTCTGAGCGTTTGTCGGAAAGGACGCTCGTATTCGTCGAATGTCCCTCCAAGTAATCAATGTTGTACCTTCCGAGATCACGTGAAAGTCCGTCGTTGCCACACGTTCATCAAGAAGTCTAGTCCCTACAGCACGGCGCCGCCGGGTGATAATCTGTTTCAGTTTACGTCGTTGCGGCCGCCACCTTCGTCGTCCAGTCCACATGTGGGCAACGCGAGTAAGCGCCGGATGCGCTCCAAAGTGAACAGGAGACTTACTAGCTGTTGACGCGGCTATATCGCATGCCGCCATCGACGCGACCGGTTGCACTCCACATTCCATGCCCGTATCGAAATGTCTGAGCGACTTACCGTCACCAGTTAGAAGCCAGTCATGGAACTGGTGCACCTTTGTAGAGTATGCAATCACAGACCCAGGCTCCAGTGGTCGATATACCAGTGACGGGAAATTGTAAAGCAGCGCGAGGCAGAAGGACCCAAAATGCCGTCGCTTTGCCATAGACTGGGACGCCATGTCACGCGTAGGAGAGAACAAGACCATGCCACTCTGCAGGGTCGTCCACGTCATTGTCTCGCCAAGGTAATTCAAGTTTCGCGCAAAGTCGGCCCCGTTCAAGCTGTATGCCTTACCCTGTCGATCTCTGAGCTACGACATATCCTTAAGCGTGGCGTATGCCAGCCACCGGTGGTCAAATCGCCCTGATGCTGCTACATCAGCTCGCATCCCAACGCGCAATCTGTCATCAATAACCCGCCGAACATCAATTGTGACACTACCGTCTTCATTATAGGCGACTGCTGCTCTCGACGTAAACGACAAGGCTCGTCTACAGACCTCGCTGACCGCACCTTGGCGTGCATGTTGAGCCGAAGAAAGTCCAACAATTTCAGACCCGGTTAGCCAAAGCGTTGCGCGATATCGAGGGAGCTTGTCTTCCGTCCAACAAGGCGTAATGTAAGCCGTACCCGACCCGGTAGATCCCCATAAGAAGTCACCAATTAGTAAGTCTCTCGAAGAGACAGTAGCAGCCCATTGTCCAACTGCTGTTGCCGCCATCGACATCAATTCCGTCCGAATACAGGGAACCGCTAGTCCTCCCTGCTGGATAGGTAAGGCCGCTATCTCGGAAGATACCCAGGGTCTGGATCGCTTTCTATCTCGGACACCCCATACAAAGTCCATTATTAAGCTGTGCAACCGGGTAACCACTGCGGGAGGAGGCCAACAGTGCCGTGCTAAGAAGTTAATTTTGGGCACCGCGATAGCACTTGCTAGCAGAGCACGTTGTTCCACTGTGTGCGTCTTCTCGCGGGCTAAGACAAGTCGGCTCCATATAGAACGTATGCACTTATTCCAGTTATCGGCCACCGCGTCCTGTTGTCCCACCAATACACCAAGATACCTGCAAGAGTCACTAGGGCCCTGCAGAGTGAGACCACAGGTGCTAAAAGGTTGCTCTGATCCGCGAGGGTCCAGCTCAATGATCATTGATTTCGACCGATTCGTCCGAAGACCCGACACATGAGCAAATTCCTCTAGAATAGCTACAACAGGCGTAACCGAGGACCGATCGCGAAGGTAGACAGCAGTATCGTCAGCGTATCCCGATACTTTGAACTCTGTAGCCCGCCCTCCAGTGAAGATAGGCACCCCTTCGAATGTCCTCCCTCGCTTGTAGCACCCGATAGACACTATCGAGGGCTAAAATAAAGAGAAGTGGCGCAAGGGGACATCCTTGCCGTATTCCACAAGTAACGTCACGTCGACGAGAGCGGTATCCATTCACAAGAAATCGGCAGGTAGTGTCGTGGTGTAATGCTGCCACGACTGATACGAAATGAGGCGAAAACCCAAGCCATGTCAGAGCGGAAAGCAGATATGGACGTTGCAACGTGTCGTAAGCCTTGGCAAAATCGAGAAGTAGCACAATGGCTCCATGTAGGCTGCTGTCCAAAGTCGCAGCTTTGCGTACCGTCGCGAAAATGTCAAGAGCTGTATGGATCGACCTCTTTGGAACAAAACCAACTTGAGCCGGCAAAACGAGATGCGACAATAATGGCCGTACCCGAAACGAAAGAATCTTGGTAAATAACTTGTAGTCGCTGTTGAGGAGAGCAATCGGGCGATGATCGAGCGGCAAGGCGGAGGACGCAGATTTCTTCAAACACTGAATGTTCGCTTCACCGAAGGAAGACGGGAACACGCTGCACGTAAGCCATCTGGTGTAGAATGTAGCGAGTACTGGACTGAGCGCTTCCGCGTAATCTCTGTAAAATGTGTTGTTAATTTCGTCCGGTCCCGCGTCTTTCCCACGTTTCAGCCTATTTAAAGCCGCACTCACGTCATCGGGGGAAACGGCCGACATCACAGTAGTGTCATCAACTGGTCCTGGCGGGACTGCCCGGGAAAGAAAAGTGGCGGTAGCGTCGGGACAGGCAAAGTAATGAGTCATAATACGCTCCCAGCCATCCGCCATTTCATCAGCCAGCTCTTGAGAATGATTTGGCCCGTATGCAGCCTTTCCGCCCAAAGAAACAATGGTGTTGTCTTGAAAAATAGTCGCCACCCGGGCGAAAAAACGTCGAGATGTTTCTCCAGGAGTATACGTGTGTTGAACAAGAAGGCGCTCTTTTTTGGATCTCTGCCATAAGCGTCGACACTCCGCAACATTACGCCGCAGTCCAACCGGAGTATCGGTGGTGCTAGGCTTGTTGCAGTCCTTATGAGCTCCTGGTGGTGAGTTATCAAGTGTACGCGCCACCAATAGAGCTGCGTCCAGTCTTACATAGAGCCGACGGAGCCGCTGCCGATAGCTTGTTGTCATACCTTGACGCGCGGTCTTGGTCGTCGCCAAAAGAACTTTGCGAAGCCTGATCTTCCATTCATCCCACCAGTCGGCCAATCTACGGGCCGTGATATAGTCCGACGGCGGAACAGAAAGAGTCTCGTCCGCTTTAAGCTGTGCCAGCTTAATGGCCGCAACAATTGCTTTATGCGCGGCTGTGTTTGCACAACCTGGAACAGGGTACACGTGCCTCGGCTTACGTACACGGACCACATAACGCGGCACTCCAATCCTGATACTGATGCCATTGTGGTCAGCTGCTGGACCAGGAACTGACAAAGCAACGCCACGAATCCAATCAGCATGGCGAGAGCTCACATACCACCGATCCAGTCGGGAACTAGCCAATCCACCGCCCGGAAGAGTGTAGAAATAAGTGTGAGAGGCCGCATGAAACGCCGGTACATCTCTTTCTTCTTCGGCCATCTCCGGATCACCATCAAGAACATCGCTAAGCTGCACTCGGCCGAGAAGCCGCCGAAGCGCCAAGGAATCATGTCTTC